TGTAAGGCAAAGGACACAGTCAACAAGACAAAAAGGCAGTCCACAGAATGGGAAAAGATATTCACTAACCCCACATCTGACAGAGGGCTAATCTCCAAAATTTGCAAAGAACTCAATCAAGAAGCAAGTCTCCAGAACACCAAAGGATCCAATTAAAAGGTGGGGTACAGAACTAAATATAGAATTCTCAATAGAGGAGACTAAAATGGCCAAGAGACACTTAAGAAAGTGTTCAACATCCTTAGCCATCAGGGAAATGCAAATCAAAACAACTTTGAGATACCATCTTACTCCTGTCAGAATGGCGAAAATCAAAAACACCAATGACAATTTATGCTGGAGAGGATGTGGAGAGAGGGGAACACTTCTCCACTGCTGGTGGGAGTGCCAACTCATACAGCAACTTTGGAAATAAGTATGGAGATTCCTCAGGAAAATGGGAATCAATCTACCACAAGACCCAGCAATTCCACTCTTAAGCATATATCCAAGCATACAACAAGGGCATCTGCTCCACTATGTTCATAGTAGCATTATTTGTAATAGCCAGAACTGGAAGCAACCTAGATGCCCCTCAACTGAAGAGTGGATAGAAAAATGTGGTACTTTTATGAAATGGAGTATTACTGAGCAGAAAAAACAATGGAATCTTGAAATCGCAGGTAAATGTATGGCACTAGAAGTAACCATCCTGAGTGAGGTAACTCAGTCACAAAAAGACAAACATGGCATGTACTCTCTCATATATGGATTTTAGACATGGATCAGGATAGTCTGTACTTCCACTGACAGAGAGTCTGGGAAACAGGAAATAACCTAAGAGAGATATGCATGGTACCCCAGAGAAGTGGAATGAGGCAAGATCTTTTGAACAGATTGGGAACACGGCGAGGGGTGGGGGGGGAGTGGGAGTTGGGAAGAAGAGAGGGGGAGAAGAGGAAGAGAGAGTAGGTCATGGGGGAACAGAAAGGTTGAGTGGGGGTTAGAATAGGGGGAAGAGGGAATCATAGGTTAGAAGACAGATCAGGCACCAGTGTGACCTTTAGTGATCTAAAGGGATGACACCAATTGGCAAGCTAAGCAATAATGGAGAGACCACCTCGAATGCCCATTCCCGATAATGAACTTGATGTCTATAACCATCCTGGAGCCTTCATCCAGGGACTGATGGAAGCAGAGGCAAACACCCACAGTTAAACACTGAACTGAACCCATGGAACCCAGTGACAGAGAGAGAGCAAATTGGCAAAGGATGGGCTGGCAAAACCAGCAGAGACATCTGATGTGAATAGGGGAGAGCTCTTGGACCCCAGACCGACACCTGGGAGGCCAGCATGGGACTGATCCAGACCCCCCTGAGTGTGAGAGCCAGTGAGGAGGCCTGGGCAACCTATGGGGCCCTGGGCAGTGGATCAGTGTTTATCCCTGGCATACAAATGGACTTCGTGTGTCTATAACACAAGGAGGGGTGCTCTCTCATCCTGGACTCTTAGGGGAGTGCCTGGATCCTGCCCTGAATGAAATGACAGACTCTAGATATCTCCTATGTGTAAGGAAGAGTCGATAGGGTAGGAGGTTGGGTGGGGTGGTGGGGGGTGCGAGAGGAGGGGAGGGAGAGGGAACTGGGATTGACATGTGAAGCAAGCTATTTAAAATTAAAATAACTAAATAAAAACAATAAAACTAGACATTGGAAAGTCTATCAATTCCCAATGACATTCTAGTCACTATAAAGAGAGATATGACAATTATTAATCCAGTTTCCCTGTATTAACCTAAATGTTTCTCATTACATATACCAACAGCACATGTTTTGGCAACTCAGCATCTATCCCCCAATTTCTTCTTGAGAGGTCATCTGTTTTCTGTTGTACAAGCTGCCCTGAGGGCCCAGGGAGTCTAGACATGTGTTGTTTTACTGCAGAAGTCAAGGCTCTAGACATATTTTCTTCCTAATAGTTCCTGTTACTTCATGTTACTATTCTGAATAAAGAAGGGGTGGAGGACTCTTGGCTCAGCTACAGAGTTGCCCTCTCTATTCAACTGCTGATTGCATTCAAGGAAGGACTGAGGGAAAAATGCCCCTTCATGTAGCTGGGTTTGCCTGCAGCTAAATAGTTCTTGTTAAAATGACATTAGTATTAATCTGTTGCTAAGAACTGAGTGTGGTACTTCAGGCAAGATGCTACTGGCCTATGCTAGATTATATCTATTGTTGATGCCATGATCTGCATGTTTACCTTTTGCCTATTATCTTTTAAATGAACAACTGTAGGAAATTAAGGCCAACCAGGCCTAGAGAGCCAACCTGTAGTCTGACAGTTGCTGTCAGTGGTGCTGATCCTGCCCAGCCAATGAGGGGCAACGATGGGATCCTATGGGAGGCCCTAGAACAGGAGCTGATCTCACCTTGCCAATGAGGGTCGACAATGCAACGCCAATGGATAAGACCTCCTGGGTGCTGGGAGACTATATAAGTTTGTATCCATTGCTAAATAAATGAGTATGCTATTTTCCCTTTCTCCTGCCTCCCGAGGTCTGTGTCTTCTTACCCCGCCCCTGAGGGAGCCGTTAAGACTGAGCAACAAACAACACTGCAATACTGCTTCTTATCATTGCTATGAATCAAAACTGTTTTTTTATGTGAAGAAATGCAGCAGGTAGGATGGAGTTGCTGGTCTTTAAAATAACAATTCAGGATTACAATGTTTAAAAATTATACATGCATGTGCACACACACACACATACACACACTATAAAAACATGTTTCATACTGACAAGATGACTTAAACTTTGATTCTGTCAACTTTATGTTATTTGGAATTTTACCTAGTTTGTCAATCTTAGTTGTCAAGCTGATCTGGAGTTGTCCCGAGTGTTGTGAATGAAATAATTCAGAGGCTGTTTCAATTTGGCATGTCTCATGGGTTGTTTTCTTTTAAACATAAGAACATCATTCATGATCTTTGATCTTACATATGTTATTTGTTTCTCACGAATATGCTAAACAAGTACTTTATGCAGTTTTCTTCCAAGTGTTCAGAATAGTTATATTCACCATCATCTACACGAACATATCTTTGTGCTTTCAGGTGCAAACATATTATAAAGTTCAAAACTATAATTATACATTTTCATTTGTATTGACTTATGAAGAATGAGATTTTTGAAGCAGTTTTCTTTAAATCTTCAAATGTGAATACAAATTTGGAGGATCTTGCTTCAGGAAAATGTTTTATCCCCATCCCAACATTTCTTAATTGTCTATAGTGTTTTGTTTAGGGTTTAGGCCTTGAGAGTTTTCACCCTTCTATGTTAGCATGTCTGTTGGTACCATCCTTGTTCAGGTCTTGTTTAGGTGGCCATGTTGATGAGACTTTGTGAGTGTAGCTTCTCCAACAAAGATAAAATCTCACAGCAAACTTCCTGTTCCTCTACTCTTACAATTTTTCTGTTCCCTCTTCTACTCTGATCCTTGTTATGCAGTAACAAGTGACCAGCACTAAAATCATGAACATAAAGCCATGAGTTTGCAGTACAGCTAATGTGGCACATGGGAAGAATTGAAGGAAGAAACGGGGCGGGGGAGTGAATGATTTAATTATATTTTAATTTTTGAAAATATAAAAAATGAAAAAAGTGATTCCAGTTTATTTCTACCTCAAACTTTTGCTGGGAGGTCACTTTCAGGTTTACTAAAAGCCCAAAATCGTCATAGAAATGTAAAAGTCATTTTCCTGTAATACTTCACAATCTAAACGCTAGATCATTGAACTTTAGAAAGTCTCTCAAGATAGTTGATACATAGGTACATAGAGTAGTTTCCTATGCCTGTGTCTCCGCTGGAGCAGCTGCAGATGAAGACTAGACTATGATGCTATACAGGACACCAGGGAGGTAGATGCTTAGGTACCACAATGTCTGACCTCTACTTATGTTCTGGAGACTGATGCTTAACATGAAAGCTGCTGTCTCTGGATATGGATAGATAGTTGGCTAATGGGAATGTCAGTTTTGACCAGAGATTTTCCAGTTTTCTGGGCATCCAAATATCTTAGAATCTGGATGTTTCAATCCTGACTGAAAGTTTTTCTTCATTCTTGTAAGATTTGTGCTGATTAAAATGTGAATCATGTAGAGTGATGTGACCCTGGACAAGAGTTTGTGGGCTTTGGTGTATATTCAGCAGGAAATAATGTGTTAGGAAGAAAATTGATGCGAATGCATACCTATTGTGCACAGATGGCTAAACAGGTCTCCTATATCATACGTGCATGTGGGTGAGAGATATTAGTTTATATGATTTTTAGTTATGCAGTTACTGAGGGTGAGGGATAAATCGGGAGCTGTAGCTCACTGGCACAGTGCATGTTTAGGTACAAGACCCTCCAAATTAATTTCCTACAACCCCCAAAGAAAATCAAAACAATTAAAAAAAGAAGAGAAATCCCAAAGTCTAGAGTGAGCATACTGGATACCAGGACAGCCATGGGTGTAAGTTCCAGTACATATGTGAAGGCCTAAGTGTTGAAAAGCCAGTAGTGTAAGTGTGAGATTAAAGCCAGAAAAGACCATTGTCCTAGCAAAACATTCCTCTTTTCTAAGTCTCTTTTTTTTCTGCTCAGGTCTTCATATGATTGGACCAGGCGGGCTGTGCACTAGAGAGGACAATTTTCTCTACTCAGTCTGAGTAGATATCAATATTCTTTAGAAACACTTTCACAAATACACCAAGAATAACATCAGACCAAATATCTTAGCAGCTTGTGACCAGGACAGGTTGACAGATAATTAATGAACAAAGGGTAAAATTTAGTTATTTAGTATTTACTTATTCCCAATAAGTAATGAATCAGAGATAAACTCACCTCTGGTTACCTTCTAAGCCTTTGTGAAGTATGTAGTTTTCTGTCCAGTATTGGTAGTTAACTATTGTCTGGCCTTTCCCCTTACCTTGCCTCTTTAAATTAGACTGAGGATAGAAGAACAATGATGTGTACCTTTAACCACATGGAATGAACTTGTCACTTCCATGGCAGCTGTTTGAATTATGCAACTGAAGAGTCTTGAAGCATGAGAATCATGTTTAGATGACAGGAATATGTCCCGACCCGCAGGACATTCAACGTGGGTCTGGAGACACCCAGGAGAAAGATGGAGGACAGGGGATACAGGAATGGGCACCAAGACAGGATTCTGATCAAGGCGACAACTTTATTTCATCACAAAGGGATTTATATAGGAGAAGTGAGGAGGGGAAGGGGGGAAGTTGAGCTTGCAGCTGCAGGGACAAGAGGTCAGTGGGAGAGGTGGTCAGCTGTGTTGCCTGGCTACCTAATCTACAGGGCAAGAGGTCAGGGGTAGGAATTCCTATGTTGTTTGCTAACCCCAGGTTTGTTACTTGGAATTTGCTTTATGTCAGAAGGGGTGGCAGGGTGGTCTTAGTGTCATGTCTTCTCTATGAGTATGTGATACAGCCTAGCTGACTGATGGCTGAAGGTCCCTGACAGGAATCGTGGCAGGAAATTGTCCTATCAACTTCTCCATGATTTGAATAAAGCCTGGGAGGGGCTCATACATGGACTGTCTCTGGAACTTCTTTCTCTTCCTGTTGAAATAGCCCTAGAGAGCAATGGTTGAAACTGTCAACAAACAATTAAACCTAACTTAACATAGATTCAAAATGGTTTTAAGAGTATGACTCATTTCTTCCTCTGTTAACTTGAGTTACATTTCACAATCATGGAAACATTTTTTTCAGAATAACAAGAATGAATTGTAATGTCCCATAAAGTACAGAAATGCTTTATCAAATGCTGACATACCTCCCCTGGAAGCTTGACTTAATAAGCCCAAGTTTGAACTTGAAGTGGTCCTTGGATAATGGATAGAGTAGTGATTCTCACTATTATTTTCTGGCAGTGCTCAAATTAGAGTTAGATTTTGTCTTATTCTCTATGAAGGGCATTTGCCTAACCTCTCTTTCTGACATACTTTTGGTTGACATAAAGATGAACACATATGTGTGTTTTTGGATGTAGGCATACTTACAGACCCTTGCCTGAGGTGATACTAAGTATTCTTGTTGCATAGCGAAGCTCTGACAAGTATTAGTCAGGCCAACGTGCCCATAATTCTGAGACTGAGGGAGCTTGGTTTTGGTTTAAACACAAAATATTTGCTAGTACAACTGTTGGGGACAACCTTGTCTAATGTTGCCAAGATATTAAAGTCAGACCTATTTCTATCTAGTTTATTCACTTTATTTTTGAATGTACCCCCCTTTATGTATGAATAGACTTCTTTAACTTGGGAACCATAGACACAGGTTAACTTATCTGACCACTACTAGACTCACAGAAAGGATAAGATACAAACAGATTTTCTAAACAATTTGCTTGGCCTGTAGGAGTGTTCCTAAGTGTGACTGTTTTAAACTGCTGTTTTTCTTTATTGGAATCTGGTAGGAACTTTGGTTCATGGAGACAATTCCTTTGTTATCTCCTTAACAATCAGATGTTTATGTAGTTGACAATGTCTCTGGTTGTATCATGAGGCCATGCCCACCGGTGGTGTCATTATACAGGTCTTGTATAGGTGATTATACTGATGAGATTTCATTAGTGTAATTTCTATATCATGTCTTGTAGACACCATCATGCAGTAGGGATCCTGGTCCTCTGTCTCTTAAAATCTTTCATCTTCTGTTGTGTTCCCTGAGCCTTGGGTATAAGGTTTTTATTGCAGAATTGTTCATTGGGACTGTCTTCCCATAGTCACTTATGCCCATTTTGGTAAGTTGTGGACCTCTGTTGTAGCCTCCATCTGCTGCAAAATGGAGCTGCTTTTTTTTGATGAGGGGTGAGAGATACAGGTATCTATGGGTAACAGAATATGAATTTAGAACAGTTAGAAAGTATAAAATGGCAGTAGTCAGTTCTCCTCTTGGATCTATGTTTTCCCAAGCTAATGATAGTTCACTCAGTTCATAATACCAGGCATGAATTTCCTCCTAGAGAGCAGGCTTCAAGTCCAATTAGACAGCTATTGTTTATCACCAAGATGTAAGTATCACTACCAAGACCTTTTATATTTGATGCTTGATAAACTCTAAGTCTCTGGACCTAGGGAAGAATTATTTGTTCAGTGCTTGAAGACTAAGGCAGAAAGAAATTATCTCCCCAAATATCACCAGTGTCTTAGTTACTGTTCTGCTGTGAAGATCAAGACAATTTATGGAAGAAAGCACCCAATTGGGGGCTTGCTTATAGTTTCAGGGGGTTGGTGATAGTAGGCAGCATAGTGGAAGGCAGGCAAGCCTGACACTGGAGCAGAACCTGAGACCTTACATCTTGGTCTGTAGGGTAGGAGGCAGAGAAAGTGAGACTGGACTTGGTGTGGGCTTTTGAAACCTCAAAGCCTAGCCCTAGTGACACATCTCCTGCAACAACAAGGTCACACCTCCTAATCTTTCCTAAACAGCCCACCAACTGGGAACCAAGCACTCAAATTTGTGAGCCTATGGGGGGCATTCACTTTCAGACCACCCCAACTTTGAACGCCTATTTTTCTAAAGATACGTTTTTCTTCATCTTCCCCTTCATAAGTTTCTCCTAGAGAAACATTATATTTAATATGCCTACACTAACATGTCACTATCCCTCCAAATAAATAGCTTTTATTTCTTCTAAATATTTTAACTATTCCTTGGTCCACAAGTGATTTGACCACAGAAGTATAGAGCCCGTTCAGTGTGTGAGAGCCAGCATGATCACTTGTGACTGTGTAATGATAATTTGAGTAGTTAAAATCAATTGCTCTCCTCTTTATCCTTGGAGACCTGGACTGGACAGGGGAGGTGTTTGACAGGATACCCACAACCCCCACATTGTCACTTGGTAGGAGGTTGAGCTTTACTGAATTTAAAGGTCAGTGACACAAGTGTCCCATTGCAGTTGAGGACCCACCTCTGAAATCAGCCCTGTAAGAATTTTCTCATTTAAAAAGACTTCCTTTGTGCAAAAGTTTCCTTTGGCACTAATCAGAAATTTAATTTATTCGGAGATAAGAAAAGGGAAGATCTTAACTACTCTGATGTAAGGGATCTGAAGAAATTAGGAGTGAGCAAGATAAATATCAGAGTGTCAGCACTATACATATTTCCTAATGGATAAGATCTTTGCTTCTGTTATTTTAATTTTCTCTGCATGGATTCAGATAACCTACGTGACTTTAATAATGATGATGCAAAGTTGCCAGCTTTCTAGGTCTCAGGAATAAAGGCCTAAATGACTTAGAATTTTACTCAGCTCCAAAGAAACAGAGGCATTTGTTTGCCCGCTCGCTGCTCACTCACTCACTCACTCACTCACTCACTCACTCACTCACTCACTCATTAACTCACTCACTCATTCACTCACTCACTCACTCACTCATTAACTCACTCACTCACTCACTCATTCACTCACTCATTAACTCACTCACTAACTCACTCACTCATTCACTCACTCACTAACTCACTCACTAACTCACTCACTCACTCACTCACTCATTCACTCACTCACTCACTCACTCATGAAAGTCTGTTGCATAAATATGTGTTATGATGGCTTACCGATATGAAAAGACAAGAAAATCCAGAATTCATGGCAGAGTAAGAAAAAAATAGCTATGGTGAGAGAAGAGTACGAGGAAGCAGTAGAAGATTGCTTTCCCAGTGATGTCTAGAACCTTCTACAGAGAAGGTGCCTAACTGGGATTTTGGGGAATGAGAAGGATATTCTCAGCCAGATTAGATGGGAAAGAACATTTAAGACAGAGAAGATGAATATGTAAAGACAATTTAGATATGAGAAATAACAGCTTGCTTCCTGTGGGCTATATAGTATGACTTTCATCACAAGGATATCATTGGATAAAGATAGAGAAGTAAACAGGAGCTAGATATGTGCCACCTTCAGGAATGTGGGCTTGATTTTATAGAGGACATATTTCAATGTGTATCCTATTGAATTTAGAATCATTTCTCTGCTTTATCAAAATGATATCTAATAACCCCTTGGTAAGTTAAACACAAGGTCAAGGAAGATGTGGTTTGATGGACTAGAAGGAAAGGAGAGAAAGAGAAAAGAAAAAAAAGTTCACTTATAAAAATAAAGACAGAGACTTTGTGGCTATTACTACAACTGCAAGCACTTGTTTCAATCTAGCAACTTCTCCAAGCAATGATAGTATTAGAACTATTGGATACTCAAATAAGGGGAGATAAGTCAATGATCACTTGAGAAAAGAGTGTTTTCACCCAAATCACTGAGATTATGATGATTTGAATATGAGGCTAGAGATACTGTTATTAGCAAGATGACAAAATAGAAGCTGTTTTTAAAAATCATTCTTATTATTTATTTTTTTACCATTCCTTCCCATGACATATTAACCTTGATAATAACCCGTGGTAATGACTGATTTTGTAGAAGTCTGGCAGTTCCATAGAGAAAATCCAGTATACTATTAGAGCAAAAATTTAGAGAATTGATGTGTGTATGCCTGTGTATGTGTGTATGTGTGTGTGCTAGTGTACTTGCCCATGGATGTACAAGTATTCAGAGGTCAGCATCAGGCATCTTCCTCTATTGCTGTCCAGCTTATGTTTTGAGACAGGGTATCTCACTGAACCAAAGTACACCATTCAGCTAGATAGGTTGGCTAGTGAGCCTTGAGGATTTTCCTGTTTTGGCTGCTCAATGATGGCCTTATAGATGGATATGATGCTATACCTAGCTTTAAATGGGTCATGGGAACCAGAACTCATGTCCTTCTACTTAAACAGCAGCATTTTACTCATTTGGACATTTCCCAAGCCATGGGGAAGAGATGCTTTTAACAATTTCATTTTAGCTGCTTCACTCCCACCTAAGGTGACACAGATCAGTTTGAAGACATAGACCTTCAGTTCATTGCTCTTCCCATAAAAAATTGAGATTGGTCAGGTGGTGGTGGCACATGCTTTTAATCCCAACACTTGGGGAAACATTTTCAAGTAGATCTCTTAGTTGGAGACCAGCTTGGTCTCCCAAATGAATTTCTGGACATCCAGGGCTACTCAATAAAACCCTGTCTTTAAATCCCCTTCCCCCAATAAAAAAACCA